CTAAAAGTAAAATAAATGCCACAGCATATTATACCGTACTTTTTTTCATTTAAAAAAGGAAATTGAAAACACACCACTCCCAGAAATGCTTGACATTGAATTGGCTATTGAAATGGTATCAGTAAAGTATTTATATATTCCATATTTTGTTCCATACATCAGCTTTCCTTGATGCGTTAGACTTGGAAGGGTGCCATGTGAGCTGAAATGTTGCCATATATGAAAGACCGCCTTGTTTTAAAAATGGACTAAATCTTTTATGGTACAGGAAGTAAAGCAAAGCAGTTTGAATACATGCACATCTCTTTGCCCCTGCTCCTGCACGTTTTACTTTGTCTCTTCCCTGTTTGTCTTCAGAAGCTGGCTGTGCTTACAGTAAATACCAGTGTTCACCTAACAGCTAAATATAGCGATACCATAAAAACTGAATGAATGACAAGTATAGTTTCATGAACCAAGACATCCATAGAAGAAATATCACAATTTAAATCTGGTTTTACAACATTCTTTAATTTAAAATGGAGTAAAATACTGTGGTAAAATCACAGTTCCTCACTTTATGCTGTAAAAGCGATTCAAGAATGTATATTTCAAAATGTTTGTGTTTGTTTTTTTTTTGTTTTTTTTTAATAAAAAATATAATCCAAAGCAAATGCAATAGATCTCTGCATACTTGAAACATATTTTCTGAATTTATTCTAAGTCTCTTACTGCACCAGAGAGTTGTGTGTATGGATTAGAACTAGACCATTATTTCACCATCTATTTCCATCCTGAATTGATTGCACCTAACACTGCAGAATGAATTGCATATGTCTCCTTTCTCCTTTGGTTTGGAGGACCTCTGGTTTCAGCCCCATTTGATCCAATCTGGCCTAAGGAGTGCAAGTCTGTCACTAGTTAGAGGGATTCACTGGAAGAAATCTTTGCACCTGAAAGAAGTTACTCTCTCCGTATACACAGCCCGTGCTCTGAAATGTGTGATGCTGTGGGATACTGCCTATATGAAACTTCCTGGTGTGTCCCTGCTAATTCAGGATTATGGTTTGAAATGTCCAACAGGAAAAAATATCAGAACTATCTTTGCAAGTGGGGAGTTTGGTTTGAGAAGAAAGCGTAAAAATGGTTTGAATTCAAGAAATTAAGCCATTTTAAGACAGGGTTTTCCTTAAAACTCTTCCAGATTTCAGGGAAAGTTCAATGTATATGCTTCTCCATTATAAAACTGGAGCAAATGTACATGAAATCTTGAACAGGCAGGTCTTCACATGTGAAAACAGGTTTTGGTCTTGAGGGATCCTTTCTTTCCCCTCCCAAAATCTCATCATCTCTGAATGTATGGAAAGCAGAACATCCACTGGAGTTTGTATCAAAAATGTCTATACATAAAAGCCCTCATGCAGTGACATGGTTTAGGGTAAGCTTGACTCAGGAATACTGTTTAAATACTGTTTTGCCTTTAAATTTCGTATTATCAGGCTATTGTTCAACAATTAGAGTAAGAAGTTTTGGTTGTTGGGTTTGGTTAGGATTGTTTTTTTATTTTTTTTTAATTTAAATTTTCATTTGAAAAAAAAAATTAAAATAATGATTTATAGAAGCTGGAGTTCTAGGCTAAGTATCAGACACTACAAGCTTTAGGAGTTCAGATCACAAGAACTGATAACACTTTTATCAGTGGTGGCTCTGCTTTGTGCTCCATCACCACTCTGTCCCTAGAGATCTAAAAACAGAGCTGCTGAGGTTCTCCAGGGCTGCGGGTGGTAGGACAGCAGTGAGTGCAGAGTTGCTGTAGGCAAGTGCTCCCAGCCCCATAGCTCCTGTGGAGGTCAGGGAACCAGCTGTAGAGGCAAGGAACAGGTAAATAGAGGCAGTAAGAGTAGAACAGCTCCTGCAGAAGTTTTGCTGTTAAAGAGGGTGGAAAAGTGGGATGTAAAGGCTGTTCTCCTGGGTGGTGTGGTGGTGTCTTCCAAGCATGTGGAAGAGCTTTGCATTTGGCATTGTACTTCTTCAGAAGTCCCTTTTCGCCCTCCTCAAGGACACTCTCTGCTCTGACAAGACAGTCTTGTACTCTAGTTAGAAATGGTTTGAGGTATGCTTGAAAGGAGCCTTGTATCTCTTTACAGAAGGCAGGGCTAGGGACAACCAGAGATAAAGCTATGTGGCTGCCATCATACAGTAGCAGAGTGGGGTTTAGGGCTTTGCAAGGGGGGAAAAGAGGTTAAGCAAAGATAAGTGGCCTGTAGAGGGATTTTTTTACCCCTAAGATATCCAGAGAGAGGTAATTAGGAAAGGCAAGCCTAACGTCATTAGACTTATACGAGAAGTACAGAGGTCTGTGGATAATTTCAGTGATCTGCAAACTGGGTGGCAGACACTGTTCAAGGGAGTAAAAACCAGTTGGATCATGGTAGAATGGCAATCTGAAATTGGAGGGCAAAACCAGCACATTATTTCCCACTACCGTGTTCAATTTAAGTAACAAAACATTGCCAGCTTTTTGGAAAAGCCTCCCCCCTCCAATCTGAGCGCGTTTCTGATCAAACCTGAACTTTGAAATGCAGCAAAGGAGGGGAGCAGGAGCCGTGCGGTTGGTTACAGGCTCGGGATCGCTTTTAGTTATCAACAGCTGAATTGGAGGATACAGGCTGTGCCTGCTTGCTGCGAGCAGCAGACTGTTAGAGGAGTTCGATTTCTCTCACTCCTTCTTCCACCCACCTCCATCTCCTCTGTGCCTGTGTCTGCGCTCCCACATGCTTCAAATCTGTGTACCTGGACTGCCTTCCTTAACAGTTCAATGTGAGTGTTAGCAGAATGAAAACCAGATGGACCAGCAGTTCCCACTGTTATCTCCCCACCAGCTCTGGCAAGCCTCCCTTTCTCTCTCCTTTCTTGGCATGGCAGAAATATTTGCCTTTATTTAGGAGGGCTTGGGCTCACTGCTGTGCCTCTTTCCCTCTGTTGCAACATGAGCTGAAAGCTATTTATTCCCTTGTTGCTGAGGTTGGTTGAGGTGAGTGCAAGATGAATTCAGCTATTAAGGAAGCAATTAACATTTCAAGATGAGTTTTCATAGTTCTTTATATTAAATGAATGGCTTGTTGAAGATAAAGATTTAACTGTTTTAGTATAGTGATATAGAAAGGAAATTTGTGTAGAATATGTTTAAAAACTTGCTTTTATTTTCCAGAATGTAATAATTTACCGTTGCTTGATTTGCAACTCAAACCTCACCTGTCTGTGTAGCAGCTTTAATATTTAAGCTAATGGTTTTGTAGAGTGTTCCCTACACAGTGCAGAGGTTTACTAATCTTAGATCAACACTACAGATCCTGTTATACTGTATCTGTATTCCCCTCATCCTGTTCTGGGGATGTTTCACTGTTCATTTTCCCCAAATTTGAATTCTATATGAAATTACTCTTCCAACGACAACTTGAAGCAACGTCTGCAGGCACTTCTACAAAGGGTGAAAATGGCTTCTGTAATTGCAGTACCTGACACACTAGATCTCTGGAACATACTTCTCAATTTCAGGCAGCTAAAGATTGGTATCTATTATGCGTTGTTAAATTTTGGTGGGCTTTGGGGTTTGGATAATTTTTTGCTTTCTGATAATTAAGTGTTTTGAGGCTCTTTTAAACATACCCTTCCTTTGTTAAATGTGTGCATTGCATTTAATTTCTCTTAGTGTCTCTCAGCAAAAATTTTAGATGTGATTTTTCGGTTGAAGTTTGTATGTTGTTAGTAAGAACAAGGAAAGCACATCGCAAAGTGGAGCGACAGAATTTACAGAACGTGACGGACTTTGCTATTGTCTTGAATTAAAACCACAGATGTCCATGCTTACCCATTAGCAGCAACACTTAACTTACTTTGCAAAATAATTTAATGGAGCTCAGGAAGACTTGTGTAGAACAGTGTATAAAATAAATAACCCTGAGCCCCCAAAGAAGGGATGGAAGAATTGAACTTATGCCCGTTAAAAGCTAAACTTGATCTTACTCATCTTTACTCAAGATGGCTTGCTAAACTCCTGGCATGAGTAAGGAAGCCTTTATTTTACTTTCAGTTCGTAAATGTTGTCATATTTTGCTGATTCTTGATAAATGAAACCTAAGGGGTTGGGTGGGTTTTTAAAAATTTTAACAGAAGTGTCTAAAAATATGTTGAAAAATAAGATAATTGTATAGCTTCTATATCAAATATTTTGCATCTTTAGATCTGTAGTTGCAAGAGAACTGTTAGGTTTTCTGCCTGGTTTTGCCTTTAGTTTTCCTGGGGAGGTATGTTTCTACTTATCTTGCTAGTTTTGAACATTAAACTTGTTCTTAACTGTGTGAAGGTGGAGATTTAGATGCTTTTTAAAAAACAACGGTATGTATGTGTGATGATTTTGGCATATTGTGTTTATCTTATGGTGAATGTCAGAATATCCAGGGGCAGGGTGGTAAAGTGATCCAGAAGGTGTGTGTTATTTAACATAAGTATCTCTCCATGATTACAAAGGGAAGCGATGGAGAGGGCAGCAGGTGTTACAAAGAAGAGACATGAAGAGAGCTGGCTTCAACTGATTTTCCACCAAATATCTCACCTGTACTAAAGAGCTTCAGGTTTTAGTTCTGGAATATCTGTCATAAGGGGATTTATTATCTTCCTGTCTCTCTGTTTTAACTCCTGGCTAATGTGAGAGCCTTGAAGGCAGGTGGCATTATTGCATCTCCAGGAATGCTTGGGAGATAGCATCTGCACATGCTAGAAATAAACCCAAGAGATAATGCAGCACTGCTACAAATGAGGTCTTACCATCTGTGTTACACCTTCTTAAGTAAGGTTTAGATGATGTAATTTGGGAAGAGCACACTACAGTAGATAATCAGGTGTAAGTCTTTCGTAGCAGATGCTGAAATGGCTCACTTCTTGCATTAGCTTTTAAATTTTTGTCAGAGGGGGTGTGCTTGGGGAAGTAAACTGGTGTGTTCCTGTGGTATGTGTTGCAGATCGCACTGAGAAGCATTCCACAATGCCAGACTCACCTGTGGATGTGAAGACACAATCCAGGCTGACGCCTCCAACCATGCCACCTCCTCCCACTACCCAAGGAGCTCCAAGAACCAGTTCATTCACGCCCACAACGTGTAATTAGACTTATTTTCTTCCTTTTCTTCCATATTCTTTCTGTTCTGTATGTAAGAAACCAAAATACATGAAGGGAAACCTGAATGACATGTCTGGAGCAGCATTTGATTGTACTGTGATAAAGTTGTTAAGCAAAACTAAGATCATAACAGATTAATGCATCTTTAAGGTATTAAGACATTCAGCTCAGAGCTTTGTTGCTGTTTCATTGACAACTTGGCTGCAGTGTCAAAGAACAGCAAGCACTGGTTTCCCGTGTACTTAATGCTCAGATCAGTCCTTCTGTGAGAGACACAGAACAACTTCTCTTTTATGCCATTCTATGTTTAAAGGATCCCATTCCCTTCTGTATAGAAACTTTAGGGGTTTTATGTTTTTAATGTGGGATCAATACATAAGGAAAATACCTATCTTCATCCCACTTACTACTGAATGAAGAATTCTGATTTAAGTGCTGTATGTTATCTAGCTAATATTGATCTAAAACAAAAGATAAAGGCCTTAATTTTTAAATCTAGAGATTTAGAGTCTGTGACCACTTCTCTAAATCACTTGGGGCTGCATCTTTCTCTCAATTTATTGATGTAAACACACAAAAAACTCTTCTAGTCTTGGTGGAATTACTCTGCATTTGTATCAGTGTAACTGAGATTTGAATCTGGCATGTTGTCTGGACTATTCTTTTCACAGCCATGAAATGATCCACATTTCTCTTACCAAGATTTAGCTGCAAATTTCTTGGTCTCTTTTATACTGCCTTGTAATAGTATAAACATGAGAATGTGTTTACATTTCACATTTTAAATAAAACATTTTTAGAACAGTAGAATACATATGCCTAAACAGAATGAAAGCAGCATCTTCTATTTGTCTTGCCTATGTCTGTTTAGTCCCTTTCTGTCTGTTAAATGCCTTATTTAAAATTCACCTCTATGTAGAAGGCCAGCTGGAGGCCTTTGTACTACTACTTATCCCAGGAACCCTGTCCTGACGATTTACATAGGACTTAAACAGTGAGGAGGGTTTGTGCCAGCTATTCGCATAAACTCAAATTTTACCTAGTGACCTAGATCCCACAGAGATTTGTCTGGTTTGCTTAACTCCAGCACCTGATCCATCCTAGGAGCTGCTTTGGGCTAAAGTTTTGCAATCTTACAGATTAAGCTTTGCAGTGTGATGTCCTTTGCACAGTTCAGAGTAATCTTTGGCAATCATAAAAGTAATAGGACGATCTTCTTTAATCACTCTTACAATTCTCATTATACTCACAAGATTTCTGGATGTTTATTTCATTTGGTTCAGCACTTTGGAAGGTTTGTGAACCATAGCAGGCTTTTTGGGGCTGTTTATAGGAAGACTAAAAGTCTAAAAGAAGTCTTAATTTCATTGCCTTTTACCTTGTCAGATCTTGGAGTTTGGCCTTAGTGGTTCTAGCTTGTACAGTAAACAGTCACTTCTGTTGGAGTGTGTTACATTTGTTATTACTATAGCAGGAATGACTGTTGCCCAGGAGGATCATCCTTATTTTCTGGTCAAGAGTATGCTTGTTTTCTTTGGTTTAGATGATTAAAAACTCTTGACATATATTAGTTTGAAATTTTAAATGCTAAATTTTGCTTCATTAATAACATGCTTTTGTTTTAGAAATTATGTAGGTCTTTGACAGTTGGCAAATTCAGACTTTATAAAGAAAGAGATAAAATTATTAGTACGGGGTGGGCTATTTTTTAAAAGAAAGTTTTAGGGAAGCGGCCTTTGAGGAGTATTTCTATATTTCTTTTGGTGTGGGAGAAATTTTACCTGCCTTTCTCCTGCTCCTATCTATCCTAGGTAATGGACTCTGTTGTTCTCTTCTTTCTTGACCATAGCCCCAGAACTCTCTGCCTAGAGCAGCCCCTTACCAGTGACTGAGTTGTTGGGTGGTGTCAGTCTAGAGCAGGACATATTCTTTTCACCTCTCATTTACTAAGTTCATGGTATGATGACTTTTGGCTGTGCAATATCCTTTCAATCAGAATATCCTTGCAATCACTCAGATTTCTGTCTACTTCAGTGCTCAGAGCATGGCGTGAAGCTGGACATGGAGCTGAACTTGCTGAACTTTCTGCTTTTTCCACTTGTTCTCCCTAGCCCACGCCACAAGAATAGGCAACAAAAACTCTGATAAAACACAAGCAGAAACTAGATAACCATTCAGATAGACTTTTCTGTAATGCTTCCACAAGGGCACTTCAGTCATTAGGGCAAAAGCGTTGTGGTAGTGATTTAAATCTGATAATAGGGTAGTGATTTGAATCTAGTAATAGGTGACTACCCTTAAAAAGAGTTTGTTGTCGAAAAGTAATGATGGCTGATGAAGAAAGTGACAAGGGGAAAGGGATGTTTGGCTTCAGAGGGTCTGGTCATTAAGAGATGTAAGTTCTTTAAGTTGCATGCTTGCCATGGTTATGCTTTTAAATAAGAAGCAACTTAGACTAATACGCCTATGCTTTTTTGACTGTAGACCAATTCCCGATTTTTGATGCTTTTTGGGATGGGTTCTGAGTGATTTCCCAGACAGAAATTAGCAGATTTCCCTAGGGCGATGGCCAGCTGAGCATGGCTGCTGCTGGGTGCAGTTGCATGCTGCATGCCCACACCTGCCAGTGTACTGGTACATTCATATTTCTAGGGAGCTGTCCTTTTTCTTGCTATTCACCGTCATTTTGGCGAGTCAGACTCAAACAACCCCAACAGAGTGTGTTTGACTGTTGCAGTTCCAAGTAACCTGGGTGGAAAAGGATGTCCTCAGTTTGATTCTCTGCTCTCTTCTGAAGTGTGGATAAGAATCAAACTGAAATCACTGCCAGAAAACTATGTTGTTGTCTTTGGTATGTCTACATGAATCTCGTTGCCATCAATTTTGAACACTTAGTACTTTAGATAGTTATTCTCACAGCAACTTTGCAACAGGAGGAAAATACTTTCTTATCTTTTTCAGAGATATGGTATTATTGGCACATAAAAGCTGAGTGATTTGCTCGTGGTCTCTGAGAAGCCTCCTGAAGTCTAGCTTCATGCCCTAGATGCAAGGCTTCAGGCCACAGTGAGCATGGCACCATTTGTACCTGCACAAACAACTTTGCGTGCTCCATATGTTAGCAACTAGAAAATCTGTATCGGAAAAAATAACCTTCTCATTGGGTGGTGTAAGGTTAAAACGTGAAAGTCCTGTTTTATAAACACAGCTGTCAGTTGTGTGTACAAAACACAAGTAAAAATATTCAGAGATAAACTGAGGCTTCGTGAAATATGTCTGCACATTTTTTTCTACCCCAAAGAAATTTTTTTGGTCTTCAATCATACATGCAGTCCTGCTCTTTCTCTCTCTGTTCCCGTCTCTCTTTTTAAGATCCTCTGACAAAAGGCTGGTATTCGAATGATGCTTTTCAGGTCCAGGAGTGTTTTGAGGGGACTGTGTGAGAGGCAGCTGCTGTTACTTCCAGTCCACACACTGTTCACTACCAGCTACTGGGAAATAAACTGCAGAGTGTCGTTCTGTCAAAGGGCTAATTATCTTTGCTTACGCAACTTAATTTTGAAGTCAAACAAAGAAAACATAAGCTGATGGATTTTCCCCTCTGTCTTCTTCCTCCTCCCCC